AGACGACATATAGCACTGGGCAAGTCAGCTGCAAAAGACCTCTTTCAAGTGCTGAAGAGCAAGGATGTCTCCTTGAGGACTAGGGTGTACCTGATACAAGCCATGATGTTTTCAATCGCCTCATCTGCATATGAGAGCTGGACAATAAATAAAGAAGACTGAAGAAGAATTGATGTTTTTGAAATGTGGGGGTGATGAAGAATCCTTAAAGTACCATGAACTGCTAAAAGAACTAACAAATCTGTCCTGGAGGCAGTGCAGCCGGAATGCTCCTTGGAAGAAGAATGGCCAGACTTTGTCTCACCTACTTTGGTCATGTTGTCAAAAGGAACCATTTCCTGGAGAAGGATGTCATGCTTGGTGAGGTGGAGGGTTCACGAAAGAGGGGAAGGCCATCAACGTGGTGGGTTGATACAGTGGCTGCAACGATGGGCTCAAGTATAGCAGGGATTGTGGGGCTGGTGTGGGACTGGGTGATGTTTCGTTCTGTGAGTCAAAGACGACTCGATGACCCCTAACAACAACAACATCATTACAAATAAAAGTCACTTAGATTTTAAGAAATAATTCTTGAAAAAAAAATCCAGTCAGTGTCTCCTCTGTTTAGATCTTTCTCCTGGGGTCTACACGAGATGACGTAGGAGGTGATGGTTAAACTGTGAGCAATGACTAACTTGTTTACATCTAATAATGATAATAAAGTAAAGAACGTAATTGAGAAAAAGTGAAGGAGATGACAAATTTTCAGCTTTGGCAATTTCAGTCATTAATCTCAAGTAAGCACAACTCCAACTTAAAGGTTTTAAAAACTAACGTAAGAGTGGAGAGGCCATACCTTTGCCAACAGGGAAACTACTTAGGACAACAACAAAAGGGTGCTGGATGAGAGAGTCCCTAAACCCCCTTGTCCTCCCAAACCCTCCAGACTGGGAGTCAGAAAAACTGATACTAGGGGAAAAAATATACGTTGTAAGCTACTGTGCTACTTAAGTGTGTCCTTCCTCGGTGCAGGAGATTGTCCCACAGAATAGTCCTAGCTCCTCACTCAAAATCCTTAGTAGTGTGCTGGTCCAAACTCTCGGCCCCAGGTATAAGGTGGGGCCAAAGGAGAGGAAAAACTGGCTACAGATCACTAAGGAAGGGAGACCTGCAGGGCCTCTACAAAACCACAGAGTGGTGCTGCCCAGAATCAGTGGGCCATCTGTCATGTTTCACAGATGAAGAAACTGAGGCCCAGAGAGAGCAGTGCTGTGTTCGAGCCATCACAAGTATCAGAGGCTGGCTTCAAACCCAAGTCCTCCTCCGACTCTACCACAACCTTCCTATTTCTCTGGAAAGAGAGTTTCTGGGAAAGGAGATGTCAGGACCCTCTTCTCTCCAGCAATTAAGTGGAATCTGTTTGCATTAAAACACTTCTTTCTGGGGACACAGAAAAGTCACATTGCTCTGTAGAGTCCCACCACACATTCAGGTAGATATGGCTTAAAATTCTGAAAATAGATCCCACACATTCAGTGGGAGAGTATGAAAACATCAGTGAGGAGACACAAGGTTCCGTCCCTGGAGGAGAACACTGACTTGCCACTCGGGATAGCCTGTCGCTCCCGGGCAGAGAATTCAGGTGTGGAGGCTGGAAAAAGAGCAGGTAGTGCTGTGGGTTCACACAAGAGTCGCCGACAAACGTGAAGAGAAAGATGATCCTTAAGAGACCAGCACAAGATAGCATTTCCCGGAACGTCACTTAGGTAGCGTCAGAGGCACAGAAAATTGTGTTTCTGTCCATTTTGTCTATGAAAGGTTGGTATATGGTAAGCATTTCAACTCATGGTATCACTGAGCTGCTCACTGAAATGGCTTTCCTGCCTTTATTCTTCTTTTCGTTGGTTTTGGTAGTTGTTGTTGAGATTTATTGCACTCACGCATCCCCCTTGTGGACAAGAAGTGTCATGATTCAAGAGCGGGAAAGACTCAAGATCTGGAGGCGTTCAAGTACTCCAGGAAGTGATCCTTCCAGAATCGGCCTGTCAGCCACATGGTAGCAGCAGCAGTTTTGGTATCTGTACTTGTTAATGCAATACTGTCCTGCTATTTAAAATGCTTCCACCTACCAGAGGTATATCAAAGAAAAGGCAAACCAAGGCATTTACGTTGGCATAGTCACAAGGTGTAACAGGTACGAACTCAAGTGCGACGTCTTTGAGGCAGGGCCTTGGCTTTTAGTCACTGTTTTCCCTCTAGGTGCTAGTCAAGGGCCTTGAATGGACAGTGAGCATTCAATCAATATATATTTTTAATGAGATTTGGGTGAAAATTTACAGAGCAAATTCACTTTGCATACAGCAGTTCACATACACTTTGTCTCATGACATTGACCACAATTCACTACAATGCGACAACTCCCCTCCAACTTCCTCCTGACAGTCACCTTTTCCCTGTGCCCATCCTTCCATGCATCCCGGCCCCCTGAGCTGTCTCCCTGTGCATAAACAGCCCTTCTTTCTCCCATAAATCAGTATTTCTTGATAAATTACTTTATTTAGTACAGATTTCTTATGTTAACGGGTTGAAGAGAAGTCATTTATGTGAATGGTTGCTTTAACCAAATCACAAGCAGAATTAGTCCAGTGAAAGTAGGCAGATACTGTTCTAAGCTTATTTTGAAATGACACTTCTCTCTGACTAGCTTTCTCTGGGTGGCAGCCCCACCCTCAGCTCCCTGCCGTGGCTGGGGTGGCAGTGGTGCAGACTGTTGAAGGCCACCGCAGAGGAACAGCCACCAAGTAGAGCTTAGGTGTTCCTCCTCCACCGCAGCTTTGGTTCTCTGAAGAAGTGACGAGCAGAGGGTGAAGGTAACACAGGGCCAGGGGTCAAGGACTTCCGGTTCTCTCCCGAGCCCCTCCCCAGCCACCCTGCCAGCGCTCCCCTGCCCACTCGGACTCTGAACCGTGAGAACAGTCTGTACCGCACACTTACTTGGCAGCGGCATCTTTTCTCAACTGCTCATGCTTCATAAGGAGATTTTTCCGGTCTCGGAAAGCTTTTCTGACCTTATATCCTTTGTAGACAGCCTGGATTTTGAAGGCAGCAATGTCTTGGATAGCCGCAATGGATAGGGCACCATGCTCCAACATGAACTGGATCACTTCATGGCGCTCACCAAGCAAAGCATAGTCAAGGGGTGTGTATCTGAAACAGGGAGACGCATATACACTTAAAGTACTGCGACACAGTTCAAGGCGCAGCTACACTAGAACTACTGTGCAACAGAAGGACACCCACTCTAAGATGTGGAATGTTCCTCATGCCAGGCCACCTAGTTCTGGTTCTTTAGAAACTCTGAGGGGTGAAAACGAGGGCGAATGTGGCTGGGGGACAGTGCTTTGTGCTGCTAACCATGCCAATGGCCAAGTTCTGCTCCTGGCTCACGAGTTAGGGGCTGTGCAAACACGGGGCCACTTTCCTCCTTCCTCATGTGCCAAATACTTCCCAGCTCCTACCCGCAAAAGTACTGCAAATGCAAGTCTGTGAGATTCATAACTTTGGGCCATGATTAACAATAATAAACACTCATGAAATAGAAAATATATTCCAAATGGAGAGATGTAGTGTACAGTAAGAATGGCACTTGAAATCACTACAGAAAAGATGGATTATTAATGAAATAGCATTAAGACACCTGGGTAGTCATATGGGGAAAAAAAAAAAAAGATTCTTACATCCCATCTTGCACCAAAATAGATTCTGGGTAGAGCAAAGATCTAAATATAGAAAAAGAAACCATGAAAGTACTATAAGAAACTATGGAGGGGTCCATTCTAAGAAAAAAATGGAAGTAGGAAGTCCATTCTAAGAAAAAAAGGTATGAAATTCAGAAATCATAAAGAAAAATAAAAAAAGGACTGATAAACACTACTATAAAAATAAGAACATTTTGCAGGACAAAATACACTAAAAACAAAGTTAAAAGATAGTTTCCTAAAAAAGAAAATAATTCATAATAAGAGAAATGCAAATTAAGACTAACATGAGAGAATGGTCTTCACTGATTTTCAGATTAAAGATCTTCAGGATTGGGATCAGGTTTGGAGGAAGACTCATTAACACCCTGTGATATGCAGGTGACACAACTTTGCTTGCTGGAAGTGTGAGGATGACTTGAAGCATTACTGATGAAGATCAAAGATTACATACAGCCTTCAGTATGGATTACACCTCAACATAAAGAAAACAAAAATCCCCACAACTGGACTAATAAGCAGCATCATGGTAAATGGAGAAAAGATTGAAGTTGTCAAAGATTTCATATTACTTGGTTCCACAATCAACACCAGTGGAAGCAGCAGTCAAGAAATCAGATGATGTATTGCCCTGGGCAAATCTGCTGCAAAAAACCTCTTTAAAGTGCCGAAGAGCAAAGATATCTCCTTGAAGACTAAGGTGCACCTAACTGAAGCTATGATATTAATCGCTTCATATGCATGTGAGAGCTGGACAATGAATAAGACTGAAGAAGAGTTGATGCTTTTGAGTTGTGGTGCTGGTGAAGAATGCTGAAAGCACCATGGCCGGCCAGAAGAACGGACAAATCTGTCCTGGAACAAGTGCAGCCAGAATGCTTCTCAGAAGCAAGAATGGCCAGACTTCATCTCACCTACTTTGATCATGTTGCTAGAAGGGACTATTCCCTGGAGAAGGATATGCTTGGTAAAGCGGAGGGTCATCAAAAAAGGGGAAGGCCCTCAATGACATGGACTGACACAGCAGCTGCCATGGTGGGCTTAGGTACAGCAAGGACTGTGAGGCTGGCACAGGACAGGGCATGTTTGGTTCTGGTGTACATAAGGTTGCTATGAGTTGGAGTTGACTCATGGCACCTAACAACAACAACAACAAAAAAAAAAAAAAATCAGAAAGCTGAATAACCACTGTGCTGGCTTAAATTGTGTGGTTATGTATCAACTTGGCTGGGCCTGGTTGAGTGGCTGGGCAGCTGGATGTAGTATTCCCCATGATGAGACTGGTAATCAATTCCATTGTGGAATTTACTGTGAGCAGCTGAGTAGCTGCCTTAGGGATATGGTCTGGTCCCAGAATATAAGGAGAAGCTTTAGGACTGCTCTATGGCTTTTGACATGTTGGAATCCTGTGTGTAGCCGAGCCGTTGTTCAGCAGCCTGCCATGTTTCTTGCTGATCTTGGGACTTTTTCTGGACTTCAATCAGGGCCTGCCATGTGGTTTGATAATATTGGGACTGTGCCTTTTTACTTGTTGGCCTTGGGCTTGTCAGCCTCAGCAGCCAGCAGCTGCCTGAGTGAGAAGACGCTTCTAGCTCCAGTGGGCCGGGAGCAAGAGGCAGCGCTGAAGCTCAAGGCTGAAGGGCTTTCAACCAGCCCCTAGAGCCTGGTACTTTGAACTCGGATGTCTAGCCTCCCAAATGGTTAAAAGAACACACTCCTGGTTGTGAGGGTTACCTATTTGTGATATTTTCTATTAGAGAAGCACCAAGTAACCAAACAGGTGGGGGACAGGCTCTTTCACATCTACTTTAACCTCCAGGGGAGATATTTTGGCAGCATCTATGACTCATCTATGAAAATGGTTCATGCAAATGCCCTTTGACTTACCCATTTCACTTATAGATATTTATCCTGCAGACAGGCTGTCATGTGTGAAATGCTTTAGGTACAAAGATATTCACAGAACCACAGTTTCATAGCCAACGGATGGAAACAAGCTCACTGTCACCAACAGAAGACTGGTTAAGTAAAGCAAAGGCCATTCACAGAATGAAGCCATCTGCACAATGCAGCCACTACCACCGTACACAAAGAAGGAGCAGTCTAAGGATGCATTGTTAAATGAAGGGGAAATAATCAAGAAAGCAAGAAGTAATTAAGGCACATGCTGCACTGGTGTGAAAGAATGTCACGGTCGAGCTCATCTGTGGGGAGTGACATTCAGTGGGAGAAGCTTCGCAGTCCCTAAGGGAGACGGGGTTGACTCCTGCCAGTGGGCTGCACGCACAGCCACTGGCCCTCTGTCAGTAGCTTGGTGTTGCTAGGATGCTGAACAGCTTGCCGCGGACCTTCCAGACTAACGTGGACCAGGAAGAAAGTCATGTCATCATGCTGATATTCTTCCAAAGTCAGCAAGTGGAAACCCTGTGCATCACAATGGACTGGTCCACAGCCAGTCACGTGACGGCGCAGGCCTGACAGCAGGTAGCCCGGCTGTGCGGAGGGTCGCCGTGCGCAGGGTGACTCCACAGTGGCTAACAACCGGAACGTGCTCCTCTGTGGAACAGATATGTCCACAGGTGTCCCAAGAAACCGGGGACAGTGACGCCTCGGAAGAAAACCAGTTGTCTCAGACGTTTAATTTTACTGAACGCTCAGTGACGTGCTGTGAACTCTGTACAATGCACATGCCGCACCTTTTTGGTAAACAGATTACTTAGAGAGGATGGGCTTTGCTGTCACACAGTTTTGTATTTGAATCTCAACTTGGCTACTTTCTAAATGAACAATTTTAGGCAAATACCTTTACAGAAATAAATCAGATAAACACGTAGAAAAAAAAATAATGCTCAGCCATCCATATTTCCATTCTCAGAATCAGCCGCTTACCATCTTGGCAGGTAAGTTTTCATTTCTTAAAGAAAAATGACTACTTTGTAAAGATGATACGTATTTTAAGAATTCAAACAACACATAAAACTATAAAAATTGAAGTTAAAAAACCACCACCTCTAATTCTATCATCCAGAAATGGCAATGATGCCGGTGCCACTTTTTCAACAACTTATTTGATGCCTCTTAAGTGTGAGCTTCTCTCATCTGTAAAACAAGACCACCCTTTGCAGAGTGGGCGTGAGGAGGAAACGAAATACTAAATGTGAGGAGGACAGCCACGTGCCCGGCACAAGGGAGGCCTAACAGCTACCAGCTGTTGTTCATCACAGGACGTTGCTGCGTGGCTCACGAGGCTGCACTGGCTTGGGGTAAATACTACTTCCTTCGCACCCGGACTAGCACTTAGGACCGCTTCCTGACTGCCACTGCTGATGGCACTCAGCTGACTGACAGGAACCCATTCCAATCAGAATGTAAGGAGGTAACAAACATCACGTCACTTATGAGGTGGAAAAAATGACGATTTTATGCATGCATGATTAGACATAGAATCATCCAGTGCTCATAGGAAAAAATAGTCTCTCTTCAAAACTCTTCTAATCATCACAGGAAGAAAGGAAGAAATCTTCCAATAACAAGCAAAGGGTGTCTTGTCAAGCCTGTAAGGGAACTAGGAGCTCTGGGGGCATAGTGCCTAAGGCATCTGACTGCTAACCAGAAGGCTGTCAGTTCAAGCCCACCAGCTACTCCTCAGAAGGAAGGGTGGGCAATCTACTTCTGTAGTGATACTGCCTTGGTCGCTATGAGTCAGATCTGACTAGACGGCAGTGAGGTTTTTTTGTAAGGGAACTGCACGGCATAAAAATCTGTGTGTTTGCAAGGAAGCCCCAAATGCTGAAAGTAAAGAACCTCCATTTTTGGAAGCTCGACTGTGCTATGGCTGTCCAGGGACCCGAAGGCCCTACAGGCTGCCTACACCGTAAACTTTAAAATATAATTAGGTAGCATTTTGTAAGTTCAGAAGAACTGTTTTTTCATTGAACTGTGTATTCTCTTTCATGACTACTTTTCCTGGTGGAAAGATGATCAGAGCCCTAAAAAGCCCAAAGAGTAGGGCTAACTAGAATTTTAATGATTATTGCTCAGCATCTTCATTTCATAAGTGAACAAACATCCCCTGAAAGGTTAAGCATCCCTCTCGAGGCTACCGAACTAGTTATCTGCAGAAGCTGCACTAGAACTAAGATCTGGTGGCTCCCAGTTCAGTAATTCTTCTACAATATACCATCAGTTATCGAATGTAAGTTCCCTATAGAATGGAGCTACTTCTAAAAGCAATGTGCAAACACTCATTTAGTAAGTCTGAACACTTTTTCCTATAATTATTACTATGTAGTAACTTTCCTATAGCAAGCATAGCAGCAGGATTATCAAAACCTGCTTTATGACATGTAAGGCCCAACTATGCTTCTACTTACACATATGACAAAAAGAAACAACATGAAGCCTAAGCTACGATAGAGAATGCTGAACTGGGAGTCAGGATACCTGTGT